TGCTAATGCATTGCATCTCTTGTTAGTCTACAAAAATCCATACTGTTTGCACCAATAAGATTTCTCGAATATTCCGGGGGGGGGGGGTTAACGAAAATAAATCTACTGTTTAATAAATAAACGGAGCGTCTACTCAAATACGATTATCGACTAAAAAAAAGTTAAAGTGATAAAAATCTGTCGAATTAATAAACAATAAATCGATCCTTTTTGTTTACACACACACGCGCGGGCGCGAACGCACACACACATATATGAGAAAATATAGTTTAAGATTTGCTATATTTATGGGTAAAAGTTCTCAATATCATATATATATATATATATATATATATATATATATATATATATATATATATACTGCCCCTTGTTAAAATGATTGGATTTCCACGTATCCTTAGAAACTAATATTATGAATGTATGTGCTTATAAAACTCAGTAAATTTCAAAATAAGTTATTCCAAAATTGGCTTGAAAATGAAACAGTACTAGAGATTTTAATTTAATTCTGTAACTGAATTTGAAATTTTTAGTTTCTGTTTTTGAAACATGGTAATTCCTGTGTAGCGATGTAACCATATTTTTAAATTAGTAAATTTATAATATTTATGGTCTGTAGATTTGCATCGAGCACTGTTTTGTAAAAATAAAAATATTGATAAGAACACCGGATTACTTGAAGAATCTCACTCATTCTTCCATAGTTTATCTTTATAGACACCATATGAGATAAAAATAAATAAATAGAGTATTGCTGACTTATCTGGGTTGGAGCTACTCGATCTTCACTTTCCACCCTTGATATAGTTCAAAAGCTGTCTTGTGGGAGATTACTTATTTCCCACTCTACAGCCTTTTTTTCCTACAAAAGCAACATTGCAAGTCTATTTCTATTCTATCGTTATTTTCATGACAAATGTTCAGATAAACTCCTCTTTTCATCTAGGACTTACCATGTTACGTCCACAGAATCGAATCACCCACATTTCCGATAAGAACTCCTACTTTATGAAACAAACTCCCATGTGGATGCTTCCTTGAGCACTACAATCTTAACCTCTTTGTTGTAACATCGAGAGGGTTACTGGATGAGGAATAACCAAAACCAAGGTTGGAAATGAAATGGTAATCTTTATAACATCAACAAAATACAATACTCGCCAGCGGCGTGAAGTAGGTAAACCACTGCTAGTAGTGGACTACATAGACATAGCATATTACCCCCACTTACAATAGTGTCCAACGTATTTTTGAGGATTGGTAAATACCCATTAGTGTTCATAGGTACGGTATATAACACTCTTCAAGGATTGTATTTCTTGTTTATCCTTAATTAATTTGCATTTCTTGTTTATCCTTATTAATTTGCACTTCTTTCTACCGCTTCTTAAGTTCATATCGCACACCTCATTCAGTAATCCTCTACCTTGAGAGGCTCATAAGTTTCATATTTAGTATAAAAACAGCACCCAAAAAGTCTACCGTTGAGTAGATCGTTAGTGGCGTCCACAATCTGATATGTGGTGTACAAGGACGTTAAGTATAAATCCTACGTGATATGGTTTGTTGCTTGATTTTATAACATGCCAACCCTTCTTGGGTTATTTAATGTTGGATTATGCATGGGGCACCAGTGAGAGTCGAATTCATGAACTTGTAGTGATGGTCAACTAGATAATACATCGCTAGACGTTACCTAACACCAAAGCAGCTACGTGATAAGGAGAAGGAAGTTTCTAACCAACAAAAATACAGGTGAATTGAGTGATCCGATTTATCTATATGGAGTAATAGTTCGGATTGAGGAATCGGACAGTCAAGTTTGTGACATTCCCTTGCGTGCAAATACTATTGGAAAAAAAGGTATGAATCAATCCCACTAGCTATGAATAAATCGCAGGATAGACTGGGTCCTATAGCCTTGGGAGGCAACCTGTCTAGGAGAACGACAACTCTGAATTCAAAAGCCTCCAAATATAAGTTAAATACCCTCACCAACTCGCAACTGGCCAAGCGTGGTGAGTACGATTACATTCCTGAAAACATGGTCAATCAGCGAAGGGTTCCCCAAAAATTGAGAAGTCCGAAGATCTGGACCTGGGCACTTTCATCACTGGTACTTTTTAAAAATGGAATCGCACAATTCTGAAAGGCCTTTCCTAGTTATGAACTGCCTTTCATATATATATATATATATATATATATATATATATATATATATATATATATATATATCAAATGTGTGGTGCAGTTCAATTTACATTACATTCTAAGTTGGGCTTGTCCGCATCAAGTCGCTGAATACGTCAACCCTTTGGGGATAATGCTGTGAGTGAACCGCTATATATATATATATAAGGTAACTGTTGAAGCTTGGATAAGCATGGAATAATAATAATACAACACAAAATGTACGTAACCAAAATGTATTGAAACAAGGAACAGGTACACAATATTTACAGTTAGTTTTGGTATATTCTTGGGAAGACTGTTCCTGTAGAATGGGTTGACTTAATCGCAGTCGGGCAGAGTCTCTGGATTGGATCTCTTGTTCCTTCCCTCCGTCTTCCCAGTACCAACCCATATTTATATGGTCGGTACTCCAATATGTAAATTAGGTGGATCGTACCACAACAGTAACCAAAAAATTACTTGCTGTTTTTGATTTATTAGATAAAATGTATACATCAAATCTGACAAACGGTTAGTCTTCAAAGTAATCCCCATTGAGATCCAGAACCTTTTGCCAACGAGCCTCCAGCTGCGCAATGCACGGACGGTAAAAATCAGGTGCCGTGAACGCAACGTCTGTAAGTGCCGACCACAAGTCTGTCTCATTTGCGAAGTATTTCACACGGCGGTGATTGTCCAGGGAATGGGAGAGATGGTAATCTGTTGGCGCAAGCTACGTGGAGTAAGGTGTATGGCACAGTGTCTCCCACTCATGCTATCCCTGACCATCCGATCCACATGAAGCCTATCATAAAAGAACAGTACATCTTTGCGATTAACCAATGCTGGCTCCTTCTACTTCAGTGCCCGTTGCACACATTCCAACAGCTGGGAGTACAGGTCAGCATTTATGGTTTGGTAGCTCATAGTACACCACTTGTTCACTAGTCCATCAAATACAGAGCATGATCTGCGTGGGTGTAGAGGTACGCTTTGGTGTGAGGCACAGGATCTCATGGTGACAACCAACATCTGGCATGTTTGGGAGTGTCATGCAGGACACACTTTTCACCACTGGTGAGCACTAGATTAAATATGGGTACGTTGTGGTGCCAAGTAAACAGCGAGAAACAGGCTGTCAGGTACCCACTTGCTCAATTTGAACGCCGTACTTACGCGGTGCAGGTGATGTCTGACTGTTTCATCAAAAACCTGGAAGCATTTGGCAAGCTCACCACGTTGAGATGTTGCCCTCCTCTATGACCGCCTTCAGGGTCCGTTCGTACAGGAACTGTGATTGACCACTGGTAGGAGGGTTCATCACAAAAGGACAGATCTCCCGACCTGAACTTCTGGAACCAATGCCTGGCGGTTCACTCACAGCATTATCCCCAAAGGGTTGACGTATTCAGCGACTTGATGCGGATAAGCCCAACTTAGGATCATAAAGCAGTCAACCCCAAACGGGTTACTTCGACAATACCATGTTTCTATACCGCTGCTCGAGCTACGATTGATGTGTTTACGCAACGTAGCTTCATTGATCAATAGCAATGCTCTCACTTCACTGCTTCCCGGCACATGACTCATATCAGTGATCATTTGTTTCCACACGAAGTAAAAAAAACGGCAAGGGCTTTTTTGGTTACCTCATATATATAAGGCCGGTATATTTAATATTTTAAAATATTTTCCGAATGGGATGTTTTATATCAGGATTAAAATCAAAAATAATCTGTCCATCGTTCAGCTTTATTTCTTTCGTTTTGTTCAAATACTTTCGACTATCTCATACTGACAACACCCAGTTCTTGATAATGACTGGGATTGTCGAAAGTACTGGAAAAATACAAGAAAATCATGATGTTTGGATATGCAACATCGCATTCGAAAATTGGAAATAGACAGACCTTGTCGGTTGGATGTAACAAAACTTGTTTGAATATATATATATATATATATATATATATATATATATATATATATATATATATATATATATATATATATATATATATATATATATATATATATATATATATATATATATATATATATATATATATATATATATATATATATATATATATATATATATATATATATATATATATATATATATATATATATATGGCTGAGTGATTAGAACGTTCGCTTTTCTGATCATGAGATCCGGGTTCGAATCTCACCACGGTTGATTTGCCAGGAAGTAGACTTCCTGATATCATCAGTTTGGAGGGGGCGATCCCAGCATGTGGCATCTTTGAAAAGTGAGTGAAATTGGGGATACAGAAGCGTTGGGGATCGTCGATAGCTGTGCTGGCACAAAGTCACAAGACATCGTGGCCGAGGGCTTGAACGTGAAGGCCTTGTTCAAATTGTTGATCACGCTAGATAACACGCACTCTCCCAGAAACTATAACTGGGGTCTGCTCAGCATAGTTGCAGTACAAACCACAGGTTGGGTCTGTGGATGTTGAACAAACACAAATGTGCCTGAGCGAGCGTCTGCAATAGGGATTGGCTAGCCGCCCTAATAGACAGGTGCCCTCGAATATATATATATATATATATATATATATATATATAAACATATCCTGAATATTGCGTTCAAGAATGAAAGAGTGTCGCAAGTCTGTGTTGACTTATGTGTCCAATTTTATATTTGCATAGGCTCTATCCCTGGTATTATGCACTTTTACCCATAAATATAGCAGGCTTTAAAACTATATTTTATCATATAAGTGAAAGAAAGATTAATAACCGAATATATTATAATTAAATCCCAGGCAAAAGGTTGAGCCGGGGGTGGGGTTTGCTGTACTTACGTGCCTGTTGTAAATATGGTAGCCTCTTTGGGTAATATTCCATCGTCGTAATAAATCCATTTGTTAATTATTTGTGTATTTTGTTGGTAATGGTAATGATTATTATACGTTCTATAGGGATGAGACATTCCAAACCGTGAAAAGAGGCTATACTGTCTTCCCTGGGCATATGCTTCCCGAGTGAAACCGTCCACAGAAGATGTCCCCATCTGTAGGCAAATCCACAGGCACAGAACTCTAACTGACAAATCGTACATCTAGTTAAGAAAAATAAATGAGAAAAAGAATTAATTCCACCTGATTAATAAAACATTGGCATATACACATTTTGCTAGTTTTTTGTATCGTCATTTAATTAATGATCTTATTAAGCAAATTTGAAAACATGGAACGTTAACTAAAAAAAAAAAATCAAATAATGTATTTACAATGAAAAGATACACCCACATAAAATCAGCGTTTTTTAAGCATTTCGCCTCAAGCAAAGCGGGAGTGGCACCAGCACTCAGGGGGTTACAGAGAATAAAAGTGAGAGTAAAGACTGGGTGTAGGGGGGAGGTTGAGAAAAGATAAAAGATGAACAGGTATCAAGGCAAGAGAAGATGGCGATTGACGTTGCATTAAAATTTTTGAAGATTGTAGTTATCAGGGAAGCAAGAGGTAGGGAGTTCCACTGTCGAGAAGTGTGAAGAAAGAAACTTCTGGAGTAGAAGTGGCGGATACATTTAACTATTTCAGCAGTAATAGGGTGGGACCTAAATGCCAATCTAGTAGCACGATTAAATTCATGTATTCGGACCACCAGGGAAAAAGCTCGTCAGCCACGTCACGTCGGCGAGAAAGGGACTGAAGTCGAGATTGCAAGTCAGGATTGATTACATTACAGATCTATCTTTGGATTTTGTCAAGAATCTCAAGATATATAGCAGGAGCACCAGACCAGATATGGCAACAGTATTCAATGCACGTACGAATAATAGATTTGTAAATGTACAAGACGGATTCTGACGAGAGATTTTCTGGCACGACACAGTGAACCAACTTTCCCTGCAGTAGATGCAGCTATTGATTAGATGCAGTCTCTCCATTTCAAATCAGTGAAAAAAAAGACATAGTGTGTTGCTCCCCTGGAGTTTAGCGTCAGCCATGCTGATAGCAGACAGAAAAGCTTTTCTAAGATGGTTAAATGAAATCAGTTTGGTTTTGGAGAGGTTAAAATTTATAAGCCATTGCTTGCCCCAGTTAACAACTTATTGGAGGTCCTTTTTAAGAATTGCCGGGTTTACTATGTCAGATCTGTCGGATTTACTTGGTTTGGTTTGGTTTGGTTTGCGGCATATCAACCTCAATGGGTTATTCAATCCCGACAAAATTTTTATTGCTGGTAATATTTTTTTTCAAAAATGTATTGCTGGTAATTATGTATTGTTGGTAATATTTTTTTTCCTTCAAAAATTCATTGCTGGTAATAATTTTTTACAATATTGTATATCTGGTGTTAAAACCTATTTTTACACTCTCATAGTGTTTTGAGGCCAGTGTAGGGATTAACTATTTAACTGTGACCCTAACAGGTGCTAACACCCTGGGTCAATGCAGACCCGAGAATATCAGCAAAGAGGTGGTTGCATGTTACTCAAAACCTCCTGATCAGAGGCCTTGCTGTTGGATGTAGTTTATCGTCTTACCCAGGACGTTCCGATTTACTGTTGAAACAAGAGTAAATAGTAGTGTCATAAGTGAATTGATGTATTTCCTTTCTCTTAATTTCGTTTTTTTTTTTGTTTTGTTTTGTTTTGTTTTTTAGGTGGGTGAGGATCGAGTGCTCTGAATGTTCATCAACTTGAACAAATAATTCAACACATCTTGACCGTCCTGGGTATGACGATAAACTACATCCACTTCCTTGGTATGACGATAAACTAAATCCTCGTCCTGGGTATGACGATAAACTAAATCCGCGTCCTGGGTAAGACGATAAACTACATCCAACAGCAAGGCCTCTGATCAGAAGGTTTTGAGGAGCGTAGAACCACCTCTTAATTGCTGGTGTTCTCGGGTCCACCCTGACCCAGGATGGTAGCACCTGTTAGGGTCTCAGCTATGGGCAAATATTTAACACCCAAACTTGTGTAAAAATAGGTTTTAATACCAGAAATACTTTGTAATAAAAAAATTATTACCAGCAAAAATTTTTGAAAGAAAAATTATTATCAGCAATAATTAAAATTTACAGTGAAACATCTACTGTTAGAGTGTATAGATTTTGATCTAGTGCAAACAAAATATGCAAACAAAATATTACCAAGTGAGTAATTTAAAAAAAAAACTTTTTACGAAAATAAAACCGTCCAAGATTGTAAATTTCCTAAAAGAAGTTGGATTGTACTCAAAAAAATGAGTATGTATACATACACACCTTTTTTTTTATCAAACTATCGCTATGAATCTATTTCAAAAATTTTGTTGATATGTCATAAAACCAACCAACCAATCAACCAACCTACCAACCAACCAATCAACCAATCAACCCACCAACCAATCAACCAACCAATCAACCAACCAACCAACCAACCTACCAACCTACCAACCAATCAACCAATCAACCCACCAACCAATCAACCAATCAACCTACCAACCAACCAATCAACCAACCAACCAACCAAACAACCAAACCAACCAACCAATCTTGAAACAAGCGTGCAAAATCAAAATCCCATGTTAGCCATTAAGAATGATCGCCAAAAGCCTGACGAAGCATTTCATGGGTCACCGTAGCGAATTGATCGACATTCGAGTTCGTCAACAGCACTGCGAAGCGGTTCCAGCACAACGTGACAAAAGGCTTGCATAATAATTTAAACCCGAATGGAGAAAACGAGGCTCATTTATACACTGATTTAACTGCACGTGCGTTTCCATAGAATGTCCCGGTAGCTTAACGGTTATCGACGCAAAATGTGAAATCAGCGAAACGAGTTCAAATTATGACAGAGTCTGTTATGTTTCCTTAACACTAATCCACATGAGAAATTCATAAATCCATCTATTCACTACTCGCCCACACTCACTACCTGGCTAGTAAGTGGCTGGTTGGACTGAACTCTCGAGTTTTTTGCGGGTAACAGCCAGGCTAAGGGAACAATAACCTCGAAACCATAGAGAACGCAACGTGAAATCACTCAGCTTTGATTTCCCAGAATGTGATGGCTATTCACAAACATCAAAAAGAGGGAGGCTGTACAGAGCCATGACTGCCTTCGATATGAAGAGATACAGTATTTAAATATAAACACCCAGAAACTTTCGATGCTGCATCGTAGAAGAACAATACTGAATTCAACACTGTGTAGAAGGCGACATAAAACAACTCCAAAATCTTTCTGAAGAAGTCATAGCAACTCACAAACATTAAAAAGAGGGAAGCTGTGGAGATCTATGACTGCCTTGATCCCGAAGGAAACTTTCATATGCCGCCTCATACATATGAGAGTGGTTACGCGTCTTGATCTTTTCCCAGATAGAGTTATTTCTTTAATGAAGCAGTAAAACTCGAAGTTTTGCCATACCATTTGTTTTTCCATTGCTTCCTTATAGCAACATCATTTTCGTTATAAATATGGTGAATATTACAGACATTAATTTATAATATATGACAAGGTTAATTATACTTTTACAAGTAAACTATATAATGTTTATTTTCTTAGACTCATAAGCAATAGGCCATAATATATGACGTAAACAAGATAAATCTATCCCTATTTTGAATTTTGTACTTAGAGACACTCCCTACTTTGTTTCAACCCCTGCTACAAAAAATTGAAAGATTTCAGCTATCAAATTACGATATGGAGATATTTCAAGTCAGTGTTTAAATCGTATATTTCCACAAGGACACTGGTTCCTTTCATTAACCCATTAACTGCCAAATTTTTTTTTAATGCGCATTTTTGGCCCAGGCAGGTGTCTTAGGAGTTTATTTATTCCTTATGTTTAATTTCGGTAGTTACCATTGTCATATTTATAGAAACTAGAACATCAAATATATATGTGTATAGAGCATCAAAAAAATTAGAAATAATAAAAAAAAATACGTTAGTCATTATTTTTCTACTCGTGAAATGTAAAATTACGATAGAAAGTGTTTTCTTACAGTTAATAATAAAAACTTTAAAGGCTAAATGTTGTAAAATATACGTCTGCAAAAGCAATGTATGTAAGTAATCCAATGTAAATACAAGGAATAACGTGTAGTGAGTTTAATTTTAACAGATCCCCAAATGGGGCTCATGGCAGGTAGATTAAAATAATTGTAATTGATTTACCTGTTTTTTCCTCTACACATATCGCGATTTATTCGACCGATGTGAAATCTGAGATGTATAAAATTAATTCTGCGAATAAAAATTTCTCATAAAAAATATAAATTGTTTTGCCATTGCAAATCTACATTAATGAAGACGATTTTTGCTTAAATTTCTGTAAAGACGGCCATTTTATTACATAGTCTTACAATTTATTTAAATGGCGGATAGGAGTGTTTGGGCTAATTTTGAATAATTTGGGGGAAGCAGAATCCAAAAATCGCATTCATTTTCCACCATTACCTTTAGTTTCCCAGTTCCACAATACCATATCCCACGTAAAAAAAATGGTCAAGATTGGGTTCTTATTTTGTATGTCGTGTGCCGTCGGGACGTTAACGATTATGGCACTCCACAATTCCCTGTTCTTTGTAGCTATTAATAAATTTTGTCTTTTTGTTATCTTTTCTAAATCCTGTACTGCTATTTATTCGCCATGTAGGTTATATATTGTTTTCGTCGGTCACTCTTGCCTTCAATCTGTCCTGTGAGTATAACATTTTCTAAGCCCTCTTTTCGCATTATGTTCCCTAGAAATTCGAACTGTCGCGTTCTGATGCTAAATATTTCCATTTTGTTTCCATTTTCTCTAAAACTTTGTCATTGCTCACATATTTGGTTTATATTCTCAGCATCCTTCCGTATAACGACATTTCAGTTGCTTCAAGTATCTTCTTTATTTGTTTGTTTGTTTTTTTTTTCTACCTACATTTATATATGTTACAAATTAAACTAAGTACTACTGACTATTAAAGAATAAGAAATCTTCGCAGATTTTTGACGTCATTCTGGGGTCTTTTGTTTTTCGTCCAAATCAGTGAATTGTTTGTTTTCATTTATTTATTTTATTTTTTATTTTTTTTTACAACGGCATCCGTCTGCCTTGGTCTTTG